AGAGAAGGTGGATCATTCATCGGGTCTGCGGTGGAAGCGGCACGCGTGAGCCGCTGTAACGGTTTGACATGACTGGTCTCAGTCACACCGGTAGAGGACGTTCCAGTCAGATTGGATTTATGCCGACGGGAACGAGTTGATCCGTTTCGGTCACGTAGATTCACCAGGGCGGAGGCGCCTTCCAAATCGAGCTCATAATTAGGAGAGAGATGAAAAGCGAATTGGCTGAGGACCCTGAATGGAGAAACGGATGTTGGGGACAAGGGAGGGGGAGGGGGCAAAAAAAGCAGTACAGGAACGATGATGGAATTGAGCATCAATCGACAAAAGGAAAGATTTTTCTTATTACACAACCAGGTGTGATGCACAGCAGACGGTGCGAACCCCATAGTCACAAAGATCTGCTGTCCAGTAGTAGATATCGGCAACCTAAGCCCCGCGGGACTTGGAGTGGTGAACCACATAAGGCCCCGGATAGGTTAGGCGTGGTGTGGAACCGGACTACAGCACAGCTGCCTACCGCCAAAGTTGGGTGGCGGGGCTTGAACCTCGGACCATGGGGTCCAAAGAACGCCTGTGACAGCGACTAAACCACTGCGCCACCCCCACATAGAGGATTGTGACTATGTTTCCGTTTTCGCCATAGGGGAACAAACACGGGAAAGTGAGAGCCCACGAACCGACTACAACCTATTCTGCGGACTAAAACAGTCAACGCTTCGTGTGTAACTGAAAAGTAAGTGGAAAATCACTATGCATTAGTTTAAAGCGACGATGCATTCACATAGACACCACATCATCAAGTGTGTGCAACTTATCACATATATCTGACGGGACAGTCAGTTTTACGTAATCACAATAGAGTACCGGTTGACCACAATAGTGGGTAATTAAAGTGGCTATTGCTTGAAACTGCAATACACTACATTTGTATGTATGTGCGTGTAAAAAGGCTGGTGAATAACGATATATATATATCATAATAAGTAGTATGTGAATGACTGGACAAAATTTCCCTGGAAACAAATG